CCCACACATCCCGTTTCTACGAGGCACTGCATTCCATCCTGGGAGCGGCCGCCACCACTACCCCACCCCTGACCGTGGACTCCGAGGATGGGATCATGTCGGACATGACAGCGGACGGGGAAGAGGAGGAAGGAGATGAGGAGGACGAGGCAGTCGACAGCGCTGGCACCGCTGATTTCCCCGACAGCCAGGAGCTCTTCATCACCCTTACCGAGATCCCGTACCAACCGTCCCCATCCCTTACCCCGGACACAGAATCAGGGGACGGATCAAGCAGTAAGTGCTGTAAACATGTAAACATTTATTTAAAACAGAACGGTAATATTTATACTATTAACAATGTATATTTATAAAAGTGCTGTAAACTAGTAAAAAAATAATCAGGTACAAAACAGGAATATTTACAAAGGTAACAAATGGGTTTTGCATGATTTCTCTGTCTTAGGCTCTTCTCAATTTAGTCCCAAGTATTTTAAAAAAATTTCACAATGTCCGTTACTACATGATTCCCAGGCCCAAGACGCTCCACTCCAAAGTCCCAGTGCACCTACGCGAAAATCCGGTCAATGTGGCCGGGGATCGACGAGAAATCCTCGTAGGAGAACTCCTCGTAGGTCTCGTGGAGGTAGAGCTCAAGCCTGTTGATCAGGTTCCGGGGTAGGGCGATCTTAGTGGGCCCTCCGTGGTAGCAGACATGTCCCCTCCATGCCACAATCAGGTACTCGGGGATCATGGCCCGACATAGCATGGCGGCATACGGCCCCGGTTTCTGCATGCTTTCCCGCAGCATGCGTTCTCTCTGGGTGTCCGGGATCCTCAGGAGGGTGATGTCGCTCATGACGCCCTGCTTTGAATTAGGGAGGGGACTGTTAGTATTGGGACTGCTTTACAGCCACGCGGTGGAGGGAGAGGGGCAGCATACAGGGATCTTTCCCTGGGACAGCCGCGAGGGGGTGGGACAGGGGCAGAGTTGATGCTGTCCTGATTGCTGGCAGCAGAGACTGGCATTGCTTTCAATGTGAAAGGAGGCCAGTGCTACTGCTGGAGTTTTAAGCAGCCACAAGTCTGCGGCTTACCATTATTGCCCGCTCCAGAAGTTCAGGTCTCCAGCCACAGTTCTCTGAACACTCCAAGACCTCCGCAAGTCCACAGGCACTGAAGGCGACGGCCGAAAATTCGACCTTGTCCTGAGTGCGCATGTGAGAGGTTCAGTGCATGGTCTTGTTCACAGAGAAAGACTAGGTTCTTTGTATACAATTTCATTTATCTGTCTCAGGAATTCACTCCCTTTTTAAAATTCACACAGACACATCTGCGACTGTCTCCCAACCCAGCCTGTCAGCACACTCCCAGAGGCTAGCGCAGATTAGGCGGAGGAAGAAGAAGACGCGTGAAGACATGTTCACAGAACTAATGGGCTGCTCCCGAGCCCAGGCAGCCCAGCAGACACAGTGGAGGGAGAACTTGTCACAAATGCACCGAGCAGTCATGGAACGGGAGGAGAGGTGGCGTCAGGAGGACCAACAGGCTACTGAAAAGCTGCTTGGACTAATGAGGGAGCAAACGGACACGCTCCGGCGCCTTGTGGATGTTCTGCAAGACCGGAGGCAGGAGGACAGAGCCCCGCTGCAGTCTATCTGTAACCGCCCTCACCCGCCACCAAGTCCCACACCACCCTCACCCAAAGTCCAAAGAAGGAGGGGCGGCAAGGGCCGTTAAAACTTTCAATCAACCCCTGCAGACTGCTCTAGCAGTAGAAGGCTGACATTCCCCAAAATTTCATAAGTCCTTTCCTACCCACCTCACACAAGCCCCCGTCCAAGTTTCACCCCCCACGTTTCATGTCTGGTTCGCAATAAAATGTTTGTTTCTGTTCATTACTGTTTCAGTCAGGTTCTTTTGAGGGAGAGTCTGTCTGGAGGGGGGGAAGGGGCTTGGTAATTGG